GAAACTCAGATTGTGAGAGCGCTGAATGTGCTCTCCGACCATGCAATTACATTTGTTCCGTCTTGTCGAGGGCTCCCAAAACGTGGGCGCGTTCGTGATTCGTGTTCGCAATCTCAACATAGTGAACGGGAAAGAGTTTTTTGCGCCATATAGCAACCACAAAATCCTTTGGCGGTTGATGTGGTGTTCGATGATAATGATGCACTTAGAGTCCGCACTTTGAATCCGCGCGCTTACCTTGCTAGATGGTTTAACGATGCAAAGAAGGTTGACATGCAAAATGTCTCGACTGAGATGCTTTTTGAAATGTTTGTTAAAAGTGTCACATTCGTCAAAGATTGACGAATATAAGAAAACTTCCTTGATTGGAAAAGAAACAAACTCACTGATATGCGGTTGGAATGACGATTCCCTCTTCCTTTAAACCCATTGAATGTTTCAAATTTGAAGGTTTCTTCTATGTTGCAATCACTTTTGAACGATGAGTTCACTGCTCTCTCTAATGAGGAGATTACCAAGATGACAATTCATTTGCCACATTGTCCGACCGAATGGACAATTTCTCAACCCTTTCACCGATATGCACGGATACAGAACCTTCCTCAAAGGATTCCTCCCGTGGTTACTTCTTTCACTCCTCAGTTCGCTCCGGTCCGTAAACTGCCCATTCAAGCAGCATCTACTTCAAATTTTCAATGTCTTGCGGATTTCGCTCCACTGTCTAATATGTCAATGCCAATGCTCACTACCTCTGTTGTTGTTTCTTCTTTGCCGACTGCTACAACTACTCCGTCTCCTATCAGTTGTGTTGTGCCCGTTGTTACACTATCAATAAAATATATGCATGTCCATACAGGACACTTGGGACAACTGAGTTCTTTTAATTTTAACATTGTCATAGATGACTCTCTTAAATCTATTGGCCCCAAAAAGACACTTGTACATCTGTCTCATCTTGACAGTTCTCACATGATTCAAGATATTATGGAAGCAGCAAAGGAATTGAATACGAGCATGAACACTAAGAGATGCGTGTATGCTGTAATTCATCTCGATTACAATCGGCAAGGACATGTTCGATTCGAAACTTTCGAGGAGTATCGTCGAAAAGTGGTGCAACATGTTTCTGTTCGTGAGGTGCTGTAAAAGTATCGTTCCAGCGAAGGAAGTTGATTTGTCTTATGAGATATATAGGAAGAGAAAGATGTTTATTAGGTGGTCGTCCAACCCTTGCCTTAGTGAGAAATTGTTAGATAGTCATCTTCGGTTTCAGTTACGTGATTGCCCCTAAAAGAGATATGTGAGGAGAGGGGGGGAGAGAAAGGGGGGGGAGGAGAGAGAGAGAGAGA